CCGGGGACGCAGGCGGTCCTTTAAGAACCTTCAGAGAGCACCCACACACCACGCACAGAGGGGCAGACGTGCACCCCCAGTCTTTGCATCGGGCATTGGGGCTGCCCGGAGCCCCGCCGGCGGTTCTGGGGTCCTCGTGGCCACTGCGGAGGGGCAGCGTGGTACAGCTGGCTCCTGTGTTGGGGCTCTTCTCCCCAAGATTTTCAGCCTATGCCTGCCACACCCTCCCCTACCACCCACTGCTGGAAGACACCCTCCCCGACCACCCACTGCTGGAAGATGGGCACCCCTCCCCCAGGCGGGGACACTCCGGGGTGGCTGGACTGAACCCCAGGACCAGCCATTCTGGCTTCTTTCCTTGAGCCCTCCCTGGTGAGTGCTGGAATGCCGTGCCTCAGTGTCCCCAGAGACCGGAGATTCAGGCCAGCTATGCCCCTGCAGAGGGCAGGCAGCTGGCCCTTTCTGACAGCTCCTCTGAGTGCTCACTACGTGCCAGGCACTTTGCAGAATGACTTCAGCATCGATGAGGCCACCCCGTCCCCAAGGGTATCACTGTCCCCCTTTTATAGGTGAGACTGTAGAAACTCCAGATCAACAGCAGCGAATGTTTGGGGCGCTCTGCCTGTAGTTCACTAGTGCGTCTTCCTTCTTTTCACTCGTTGGACCCTGTCTGCACGTCTTTGATGTGAAAACACGTGAAACTTTTCACTACAGATGAGCAACGAAGCACAAGTAAGCCCGTGTGTGGCTGGCTTCTTGGTAGTCCACCCCTGCCACAGCCCATTTGACAGACGAGGAAACTGAGGCTGAGGAAGGTAAAGGTGACTTGGCCAAGGTCCTCCAGCCTGAAATCGTAGAGGCAGGAACTTGGCCTTGGAGGGGGTGTGCTGGCCCCATCGGCTTCCTGCCTGGCCACGGGCTGTTGAATCAGCAGCTATGCCGGCAGCAGACTCTGAACTTGGGAGAGAGCATGGGCAGATAAGCCTGGGGACCAGGCCCTCCCTGTCAGCCTCTGGGTGAGGCTGGAACCTATGCCCCTGTGGCTTCCTGCCCTCCTTGCTCTTGCCAGCTAGGAGGAGGCAGGGTTCATGGGCAGAGCCAGTCCCTGTGCTGTGACACTACGACCTTGGGCCAGGCTGCCTCATCTGGACAAGTAAGGTGGTTGCTGACCTTGGGGGAAGTCCCTCTTCCTTCTGCTGTAATGAAAGATCAGCCTCACCCCATTTGGGCTGATTGCCCAGAGCATGGGCTCCTGGGCCCAGAATTGTGCCATAGGCAAGTTACTAAACCTCTCTGTGCCTCAGTTTCCATATCTATTAATTAGAGGAGTAGCACCCCCCTTCTCACGGGGCTGTTGAGAAGTTGAAGAAATTTAACTACTTAATGCATTCAACAGGTATTTGAGTGCCTACTGCACACCAGACACTGGAATTCAGACCAAAAAATGCCTTTCCTCCTGAAACAGTCAAACTTGACCCAGGTAATTTTGGGTTCAGGTGCAGGCGAGTGGTGGTGGTGGTGGTGGGGTCCCTGTGTATAGGCCGGGCAGGGATGGTTTCCCTGAGGGGCTGATGATCGTGCTGAGAAGGAAAACTATGAAGCTATTGGAGGGTGGAGGGACAGAGGAAGGCTGTGACGTGGGAATGTGTTTGAGGAACTAAAGCAGGCCAGCGTGGCTGGAATGTGGCAGGGGAGGATCACAGTGGAAGACCGTAAAGGAAGGCGTGGTGAGGACTGAATGTTACACTGGGAGGAATAGGGAGCCATGGGAGGTCTTAGAGCACACGAGGGGTATGATTGGGCTTGGTTGTCCCAGGATCTCACAGTGTGAGGGGTGGATTTCAGTGGGGCCAAGAGAGGCCGCAGTGAGACTGTGAGGGCTGGTCCAGCCAGCTGTATGTTCAGAGTCACTTCTGACCCCATCGAGTTGGACCACCCAGCACCGCTCCTTTACCACGTCTCTGCTCTGTGCCGATGCTTCTCCTTCATGACCCTTCCCTGAGTCCCATCTCCTTTTTCTGACCCCCTGAGCTGTTCATGGGTCCCTGTGGGGATCTTGGCCGCCGGCCTCATTGCAGTGGCCGTGTCCCTGCCTCACGTTCCCCTCTTAGGCCTCACTTTTGGATTGTACAACACTGATTGAGCACCTGGGATGTACAGGGCCCACCCCATTTCATGTGGCTGGGGCAGGACTGGGTGGTGTTTTGTTCTGCTGTGCACAGGGTCACTATGAGTCGGAGCCAACACAATGGCACCTACCGACAACAATACCTGCTTCATGGGACTCACAGCCTGTGGGGTGGAGGGGGTGAGGGTGCCTGTGACCCTGCAGTAACAAGCCAGTATGATTGCTGCTGTGATCAGAGACAGCCAGGGGGACTGTGGGAGCCCAGTGGAGGTATCTGACTAGTCTGGGCAGTCAGGGAAGGCTTCCTGGAGGAGTTGTTCTCAGTGGAAGGGAACAACATCAGTAAAGGCCTGGAGTCCGAGGGAGGCTGGAGAGGCAAGTAGGGCCTGATGGGCCGAAGAAAGACTTTAGGCCTTACCCTGAGGTACTGGGGAGCCATGGACAAGGAGAGGGCAAGGATGTAGGCAGGGAGACTAGTGAAGAGGCGACTAATTTTCCAGGTGAGCAGTGACGGGGCCTAGGATGGGGAAGTGCAGTGGATAGAGTAGTCCACTGATTTGGAAATGGTTAAAGGGAAGAATCAGCTGGACTTGGTGAGTGATCAGATGTGGGGTGAAGAGGAGACCAAGGGCCGTTTGCTGAGCCAGGAGCACTGGAGGGAGCACCTGGGGAGACAGGGATGACGGCAGCAGCTGCCACTGCTGAGCAGGTACTGTGAGCCCCACCCCCACTCACACCTTCCTGTCCCATCTTCACAACAAGCCTGACCTAGGACTGGTTATGATCCCATTTCACAGATGCAGAGACAGAGGCCCAGAGAGGCTCATAGCTTGCCCAGAGCCACACAGACTGGATGTTGCCAAGCTGAGATCTGAACGCAGAGAAGAGTACGCTCAGACGGGAGCCGGGCAGAGGGCAGGTGGCGAGTGGTCACCTGAGAGGTAGGAGGGCATCGGGGCACGTGGGGTGGGAGGTTCCTGTGAGCAATGGGCCTGCAGTCCATAGAGGAGTTGGTGGGGTCGGGGATGCATGAGTCTCATATCGCAGGGGGAGAAACTGAGGCTCAGAGAGGGCCAGCCCATGACTGAGGTCACACAGCTCAGGGAACCAGAGCAAGGATTAAACACTCCGAGCTTTCAGGGGCTCTGGCTTCAGCTCCCCTGCTAGGTTGGCACAGGCAGCTTTGAACTTCTATATCACAGCTTGTGTCGCCTCTTCCAGGAAGCCTTCCCTGACTGCTCAGGTAGGCAAGATGAAGAGGTGAGGAAACAGGATTTGATTGGGAGGCCAGCTGCTCCCTAAGGCACCACCAATTTATGTTTGTCAATTAATTGAGAGCCTCCTGCATACCAGGAGCTTTACATACTTGGCCTTTTGAAAAATGTCGCTGCTGCTCTGCCCAGGGTAAGCCTGTGACACAGGAGCACATGTGGGTCATTGGAGTGGCTGAGAAAATCCTCAGGGGCAGGTGTGGCCACATTGGGGTGTCACCTCCAGATACGTTCTGTGTGGCCAGTTCTGTCCTCGTGTGTTCCGGGGGGGGAAGATGCAGGAAATTATCATGGCCAAGTACGTAGAGTTGTTGTTGTTGTTATTTGCCGTATGAGTGTTCCATGGGGGGAAGATGCAGGAAATTATCATGGCCAAGTACGTAGAGTTGTTGTTGTTGTTATTTGCCGTATGAGTGTTCCATGGGGGGAAGATGCAGGAAATTATCATGGCCAAGTACGTAGAGTTAGGTCCTCTAAATTACGTGGGCACACGATGACACCTGCCCCGTAGGTCTGGGCCAAGCCCTGGGCCCACGTCTTTATGAGGATTATCTCCTAACAACCTCGTCTGTCTCTCTGACCACATCACGCACCACTCCCCCTTCCTGACTCTGGTCCCGCCCCTCCACCTCCAGGCTGTTCTGCTGGTACACTGGGCACATGCTCACCCCAGGCACTTTGTACCACCATCCCTCTGCCTGGCTGGCTGTCCCCCAGATACCCCCACAGCTCCCTCATTCAGGTCTCTGCTCAGATGTCACCTTATCACAGTGGCCTCTTCTGACCACCCTGTTAAAAGCACAAATACCTCTTTTGTCCCCAACACTCCTGATCCCCTTCCTTGCCTTATCTTGTTCTCCACAGAACTTGAGAACATCTGTAGGCATACTTTGTCTGTTAATTTGTTCATTGTCTTCCTCCCCACCGCCAGCCACTGGCAGGTCAGCCCCATGAGGGCAGAGACCTTGTTCACTGCTGCATCCCTAGTGCCAGAGTAGTGCCTGCCATACAGTAGGTCCTTAATAAACAGTTACGAGTGAAGGAAGCCCCTAGACACCTCTGGAGTGGTTCTGTTCACCTCCCTGTTTTATGGATGGGCAAGTGGAGGCTAAGGGACAGAATCTGCAGAGAGGGACCCTGGAAAGAGGACAAGAGGTCAGCTGGTCCGGCTTGGGGATGATGGCAACAGCGGACACCTGAAATGAGGCCTGGGTTTGAGTCTCAGCTCTGCCCAACTTCCAGTGTGACGCTGGGCGAGTGACTGAGTGCTCTGTGCCTGTTGCCCCATTAACAACAGACTCTACCATCTAAGGTCTGTTGTGAGCATTCAGTGAGTTAGTGTGTAAGAGCCTGGCATGCTGTGGCCCGGAACCCTTGACATCATTTTGGGGAGGCGGGACAGCGTGGGCAGACCGTGTCCACTCTCAGAGCCTCCGTTTCCTCATCTGTGACATGGGGCTGTGGGAATGCTGTGGGTGCCCAGGACGGCTGGGGGGGTCACAGAGAGGGGCTGGGGGACCCGGTGGTGGTGGCCACATGAGTCAAAGCTGCTGTTGTGGGGGGCAGGCCCCGGGTCCCCTGCAGGCCCTGGGCTCGCGACCATGAAGCTGAACGAGCGCAGCCTGGCTTTCTACGCCACCTGCGATGCCCCAGCGGACAACACGGGCTTCCTGTACAAAAAGGGCGGGCGGCATGCCACCTACCACCGCCGCTGGTTTGTGCTGCGAGGCAACATGCTGTTCTACTTTGAGGACCCGGCCAGCCGCGAGCCCGTGGGCGTCATCATCCTGGAGGGCTGCACTGTGGAGCTGGTGGAGGCCGCTGAGGAGTTTGCCTTCGCCGTGCGCTTTGCCGGTGCCCGGGCACGCACCTACGTGCTGGCTGCCGAGAGCCAGGCTGCCATGGAGGGCTGGGTGAAGGCGCTGTCAAGGGCCAGCTTCGACTACCTGCGGCTTGTGGTACGAGAACTGGAGCAGCAGCTGGCTGCCATGCGGGCGGGGGCTTGCCCACCGCTGCCCCGCCGGCCCCGGCCCCTCCTGCCCAAGGAGAATGGCTGTGCTGTCTGGAGCACCGAGCTGCCCGCCATCCCCACGGCCACCAGCGCCAGTGCCCGGCCCGGCCCCGAGCCGCCGCCACGGCCTCCCCGCCGGCGGACCTCGGCACCTGGCGAGCCTCTCGACAGGGTCTCCTTCGCTCGGCTGCACGAGTGGTACGGACAGGAGATCCGAGCCCTGAGGGGCCAGTGGCTGCGGGGCCAGGCCCAACCCTGAAGAGACCAAGGGGCCTGGTCCTGAGGGGAAGTGGTCAAAGCCAGCCCTGAGGTCGCTCAGCGGCCTGGTTGTAGCCAGACTCCAGCTTATCTGACCAGAACAGGCCCAGCCCTGAGGGGCCCATGACACCAGAATTTGCTGAGCATCCAGGGCCTGGATGAGCTCCCATGAGCCCGAGGGGCTGGTTTTGGGGAAGTTAGCCCCAGCCCGGGCCTAAGGATGCCTCAGCTGTCTGGCCCCAGTTACCCAGCACAGGCCTATTGCTGGTAGCAGGCCTGGGCTGGGCCCACAGCTGGGCCAGGCACTGGCCCTAACAGTGACCTGTAGCTCCGTAGGTAAATGTCCAGTCAGCTCTGGCCCTGGTGGCTTCTGACCGGGCCCTGGGCGTGGACAGTGAGAAGGCTCAGCCGTGGCCGCGCCACACCCAGGCCTGACCTCTTTTGTTCCAGGCCCCAGCAGAGAAGCTGGCCTGACTCTTGGCAGCCTGGCTCCCAGAGCAGTAGGTGCTGAAGGGACTGCAGGGCAGTGGGTGGTTTCAGTGTGTGAACGGTACGCTGAAGTGGCCTGTTCCAAGGCTCCTGGCCTGCACTGGGGCTGAGGCAGGACTTTGCCCAGGCCCCTGGCTCCTGGCCAGGCCTGAGGAGGTACATCTGGCGGGCAGCAGGCTCTCTGGCCGCGGCTGTGTCTGTGTCCCCGTGGCACCTCACAAACCCTCCCTGATGGAATCCTTCAGTCACGTTCTCCTGAGCCGGCTCTTCCACCTGGCCTGGGGCGGGACCCCTCAGGGAGCTGGCCGACCTCCTCCCAATGTGGCTGGGCAGCCGCGGCCTGGCTGGCATCCATGCCCCGGGACTGTCCGACAGGTTCGTCCAGGGAGGAGCAGCTGTGAGCTGACTCACCACCACGAAAGCCCAGGTGCTGATCCGGTGGCAGGAAGACAGAAGACAGAAGCCTCTCGAACCCTCTCCCCTCCACTCCACAAAGTCCCCTCTGTCACAGCCCCATCAGAACTCAGACTCAGCCACGGCCCTTCTGTCACAGCTCAGAGACCCAGCCACGTCCCCGCCGCCACAGCCTGTCAGCACTCACAGACTCAGCCTGTTTTCTGACAGGGGGACCAAGGCCTCACCACTGTTTTTTCACCACAGTGCCCACTCATTGTCCAGGGAGAATCTGGGGTTCAGGACACCCTAGCCCTCCAGCTGGGTCATGTTTACAATCCTCAGTGCCCCACGCCGGGGACCCCTGAGGACACCCCCCCCCACCTCTGTTGCTCAGACGCAGTCCTGGAGCCCAAGGCGGGGGCAGCGCGGGCTGCGTGTCTGCAGTCAAGGCCTCTCTCCCTCACTGCTGGCTCAGTGGGAGGGGCTGCAGTTTTAATTTCATTTTGAGACACTTAGGGTGTTTTTTCTGGCGACAGAACTCAGTTTTTGTTTTTGTTTCACGTCCTCTGGTGGGAAGGGATGGGGTAGCCCAGGCCGGGCTTGGCTGGGGGTACAGGGCGCATTGCCCCCAGGAGGGGCGGCAAGAGCTTCAGCTGCAGAAGGTGCAGCTCGGCGATCCAGGGGCGCCTCGGGGGGCTTCACAGGTGCTGCCTTTGGGGTCTCGGTGCATTTGCCGTCCGCCTCCTTCCCCAGAGTCCTCCGCTGACCTGAGTGGCAGGGGCACCCTGGGCCTCAGCTCCCAGCCTCAGGCTCTGGGTCTCTGGAGTTGTGTGAGGAGCTGTCCAGAGTCCAGGGCCCTGGGCAGACCCAGCTGGGGGGTGAGGTGTCATGCCCAATCCCAGTGCAGGTTTACAAACTCTTACGGTACAGTGGCCCTGGTCCTGGTGGGGGTATGGGATGCTCCCACCCCGCTGAAAGCACAAGATGGGGTCAGGTTGCCTCCAGCCTTGGCTGGGGATAGAAGGGTGCAAGGGCCGGAATAAACCCAAGTTTGTTAAAGAAGGGCTGTTGTGTCGTCTTTCCCGTCCCATCAGAACCCTCCATTGATGTGCTTGCGAGGCAGGGGCAGCCCACTGAGGGGCGGCCTGGTACTGGCTGAGTGCCTCCCGGGCTGGCCGCACATCCCCACATCATCTGAGGACAGAAGGCGAGTCAGGCTCAGCGAGGTTAAGGGATCTGCCACGGTCCCTCAGCTGGGAAGTGTCAGGCAGGGATGTGAACCCCTACACCCTCTGGCAAAAAAAGAGCCTTCGGGGTGGATGTAAGGGGGTGTGGGGCTGCAGAGCTCCTTTTCAGGGGTGGGGAGGAAGGGCAGGCTGTGAAAGTCAAGTGAGGGCAGAGACCTGGGAGTTTGGAGGGTGGTTAGGGATGATGGAGGTCAGGGACAGCCAATAAAAGGGCCTGGCTCTTCTCACTGATCATTTCCTGGTGGCTGCCCGGAGGCTGCAGTGAGAAGAATTCTAACAGCAACCCAAGTTCAGGGAGAATGAGTCTGGGCTTGATTAGTAATGTCTGCTGTGAGTACCAGGTGGATGGTCGCTCAGTTCATGCTGTGCATTTGCCATCTCACGTTCAACACTGTTCATCAGGCTAATGGGGGACTCAAGGGAAGGGGCTGGCTCAAGGTCAAGCAGCATGAGGGACTCGGAGCTTGGGTCACAAATCTCCTTTGCCAGCCTGCAAAGGTCATGCACATTGGGGAAAATGTGGCTTAGGGTGAGCGACCAAAGGTCTTAGTCTGCAGTAAGAGTTCAAAAACAAACGACAGATGCTCCTGTTGGGAGATCCTGCCCCTCTTGAGGACCCAGGGCACACTGACTAACTCCCTCCACTTCTCCTGGGGCCACAGCAACAGGCGGGGGTGGGGAGGTGGCTCTCCACATGGCTGAGTCATGGCACTGCCTGTGGCTTTGGTGACCACAGTCACCACAGAAAAGGGGAAAGAGCAGGAGAGAGAGCCTGGAGAGGAAGGGTCACAGGTCTGTCCTCAGGTGGATGTCTTAGGGCCAGAATGTTCCCATCAAGCAACTGAAAGGTGTGTGTGGGGAAGTTGGCCCATCCCTCATTGTGGTGCACACACCTGCGAGCATGGCAGTGTGTCCCCGTGACCATGGGAGATGTTCAGGGCACAAGTCTAAGGGAGACTAAAATGTCCCATAGCGTGACAGGGTAGAGAACACCGTCTTCACCCAAACAGTCCTGGAGGATAACTGGATGTGGATGGAAGGAATAGTCTGAGAAGCAACTTGAAGTAGGAGTGAGAACCTCAAGGGGACACTAGGGCCAGAAGTTACAGGTGGGCTGCCCAACGTCCACTGACCCAGAACAATTAGTCAAATTCAATCAGTTGTGCTTTTCCCATCTGCCTTTTAGGGCCTGGCTGTATCCTCAGCCACTAAAGTATGAGTGTGTGACCTGATTTTGGCCAATGAGACATGAGGGGAAAGGTCTTCTAAAAAGACACACAAGAGCTCCTTCATTGTTCTCAGATGGGGGTTTGGGGAGCGAAGTCTGGGATGCCTGGAGCTATGGCAGCCATCCTGTGAGCATGAAGTAGGCCACTCTGAGGAAGTTTTCTCACACTGCGGTTGGCACACACTTGAAAGTATCCTTGAGCTGCTCAACCAACTAACGCAGGAAACTGCTTTACCTCTGAGCATCTTATCATTTAAGGTAATAAATATCTTTGTTTAAATTTTTAAGTGGGGCTTTTCTGTTACTTCTCGATAAACTTGAATGACAGCAGCTGGTCCTTTAAAGAGAGTGGCTCTGAGTAGCTAACTGCAGGGTGCTGTTGGCTTAGTGGGGTGCAGGCTGGAGCAGGCTCCTCTGGGAGAGGAGAGGGACCACTGCTTATCATCCTCTCCCTGGAAACCGTCCATCTCTCCTTGTCTTAAACAGTGAATGCTGTGGGTTGAATTGTGTCCCCAAGTGTATGCATTGAGGTCTTGGCACCTGTGGTTGCGATGTTGTTGGTTGGGACCTAAACGTAATCGCTTCCGAGTTAGAGAAAGAGCAGAGCAGACAAACACATGTGGGGGGGCCGGGTGAGGACCATCTACAAACCAGGGAACTTCTGAGGCTGCCAACTAGGAAGACCCTCCCATATACCCGATGCCCCGATTCAGACTTCTAGTCTCCAAAACAGTGAGTCAATAAATTCCTGTTGTTTAAAGCTACCCACTGAGGGATCTGTGTTACAGCAGCATGAAGGAGCCAAGACAGTGAACAAACGCTGAAGGCCTGTCACGCCCCCACAAGGGCCTGCCTCTCTTCAAAACAGGACCCTGTATGTTCCTAACGGGGCAGCTGTGTCCCCCCTCTGTGGCCAGAGCTGGTGCCAGTTGTCCGCTCCCCAAATCACTGGTCTCCTTTTCCACAAACACTGGGGCTGTCCCGGGTCCTAATGCTTTTACAACTGCCCAGCTGCAGGAGTTTATATTTTCTGAGGGAAGTTTGTAAAAGAGCTCATTTCACCTGGGCCTGGGGCCTGATGAGAGAGTTCTGGTAGCATCGTGTCTAAGGCATTTGACTGCTAAACAGAAGGCTTGGGGTTCAAACCCACCAACCACTCCTCAGAAGGAAGATTGGGCACCCAAGGAGGGGCGCTATGAGTCGGAGCTGACTCGACAGCAATGAGTTTGGTTTGGTTTGGGGCCTGGCATGGCTGTTCTGACCAGGCGCACTTGGGCCGCCTAGTGGCGGGAGCGCGCTGGACCCAATGCGGCCACCGTCTCTTCATTGTCTATGGACACTTCTGTCATTCCTTCCCTAGTTGTGTGGGCAGAGAAATCTGGGGCACCTCTGGACTGTGGCTCTGAGGGCAGGGACCGTATCTGCCTCCCCAGTGTGCCCCTCAGGGCCTGAGGGCCTGACACAGAGATGTTCCCAGCCTCTCCTCCCCTCTCTCAGTCCACATGACTCCTCCCTGCTACTGCTACTCTGACCAGAGTTGGTCCCCGTACAGAAACTGAACCAACCAGAATCCTGGGAATTTTTAACTGGGGGCTCAGAGACAGAGGTACCTGTGGATGAGAAACTGAAGAACTGATGGAT